GGCCCCCGGGGGGGGTTTTGGAAACCCCCCCTCCCCCTTGTGGCCCCCACCCCCCCCTTTCCCTTTTGGATGGGGGAGTTTGGGCCCCCCCCCCCCCGCCTTTTGGGGATTTGTTTTTTTGATTCCCCCCCCCTTCCCCGGGTTGATTGCGAAGGGCTTTCCCCCCCCCCCGAGAGGGTCCTTTGGGGGGGGGCCCCAAAAGAAATTGGGGGTTTGGTGGGGCCCTGGGTTTTGGGGGGGGGGGGGGGGTTGCGGAGTGACAATAGGGGTGGTAGGGGGGGGGGGAGGGGGCGTTGAGGTGTGGCGGTAGCTACATTTGTCGAAAGGGTGACCGATGTACACGTCTTTGGTATAAGTTGATCCTATAGCCTTGAACCACCTACCGCGGGGCTGAAACCACCGCCGCCCATGCCCCTTGCCCAGCTTCTTTGAAAGCGTTATCTATCATAGCAGGAGGGCAGCTCACAGCAGTACGCACGCACAAACCGCTGCCTGCCGGTGCCAGCGCAAGCAACACCTTGGTGCACGATACGATACACGCGGTGCCTCTCACGATCCTCGGCCCGAAAGTGTTTCGGTTCCGGACGTCGCGAAAGTGCGGTACAACTCCGGCCGCAGGTCTGGTCCTCACAATTCGGCCAACCCCCGTTGTTTCGTCCCACTCGTTTTTGTAGTTTATGTTGCTACTTCGTATGCTATAATCTTCTGACAGAAATCAGAGGAACGAATTAATCTCTTTTTCCATTGCTAAAATGGTAAAAAACAGCAGATCGACGAACCGAGATAAGTATTTTCGAACCAAGTCACGACGGTGCCTTTGAATTCACTCGTCTCTTCTTGAGATGTGACCAGTGTCGAAGGATATCTCCGCAATACCCGCTTCTGCTAAAAGCTTCCATCTTGTTCGTTACACACAAGAGCAGGCTTTCATGAGGGGTATGCATAACCGACACCGGGTGTGCAGCAGCACCACGTGGGGTGACAGTGCACGCATACATTACGGTACCTGTTACGTCTCCAGGGGGGAAGGTACGGCACCCCCGCGGGAAGTATCTCCCACGACTCGTACTCCTCCCCACGGTACTGTTCGCGTCGCCCCGCCGCCACCTGCCCGCGAAGGAGGGAGGGGTTCGAGGCGGCGAAACAAACAAACGAACGTCGCACGAATACAGAACCGAAAACAAACAAAAACAAACGAACTTTTCACGAATATAGAACCGAAAACAGAAAAAGACGAACGAACGATTCACGAGTCAGGTCAGGGGACGCGAGCAACGAAGGATACGTTTGGTGAGGAACAAGGCTTGGCGCGGAGTGGCACGCGCCACGGAGGGGTGAGCAACCGAGTTGTTGGGTAACGGGGATAGTGGTGATTCTTGTCTAGAGTGCCCCCGACCGATCGTATAGAGCGGGTGTGAATAGAAATTCGAAAAATTGCAGAGCAGGGATGCAGCGTGACTCAACAACTTGGTGGAGATAATTGCTGCTGTGTTTTGATAATGCAAAATATCAAGGATGGCAGGCTGACCCGTGCCCCCTCGCTCACCTCCCACCCGCCTCCGTAGTCACCCGGCCGCATCATCAGGGAGGTCCTGGCCCCGCTCCGCGCGCCCGAGTACTCCGTGTGCTCCAGCTCGATCCGCTCCCCTTTTCGCACGAACCTGCCCAAGCGCACCGCGTTCTTACGTGCCCCCCCCCCACCCCCCCCGGCGACGGCGGGGCACCCTGCACTCCGGCACGGTAGTACTCTCCACCTCTCGGCGGGGCCGGTGTATATTCTGCATGGTAGCGTGGAATCGTCCGACGATTGACAATAGCAGTTAACAGGTGTGAGCTTCAATGGGGTGATGGGACTAGGCCCTTTGTGCTTGAAACCAGGTGGTCGATGTCCTTTTGTGGTGTTCTCCAAATTCACGGGTAGTCGGCCGCGGTCTTATGAGGCATCAGCATGTGAATGGTGTGATGACTTATTTCGTTTGGGTTGTTGAGCGAGCAGGGCAACGCAGGCAGTATGTGTGCTTGATTCCGGGCCGTGCCAACATCGACATGTTCGTCCTCTACGTAGACATCTACCTACAGATTCGATGGGACAGCGAAACACAGGGAGTACAGTAGTTGGTTTTGGGCCGCTTCAATGTCACCATCGTCTCCGTGATCTACGTAGACATCTAACTACACAGCCTGTTGGCGTTGCCACAACAGCAATGGCAGCAGGGCGCCCGAAAGCGAAATTCGTTCGCTTCTTCTGTGACCAGCCGGGTGTCCGCGCTCGGGGGCAAGCGGGTGGGGAACTCGGGGGAGGGGGGGGGGGTCTCACCTCGCAAACGCCAGCGCCCCCGATGAGGAAACCCGCAGGTACTTTCCCTTCCCGTGCACCGACTTGATGCACACGGACTGGCCATAGACAACGGGGCCCTGGTATCGCCGTGATCAGTGGAAAAACATAACGGGGAAAGATTGAGCATGGATAAGGACGTCAGGTAGATGATAAATGGCACCGCGGAGGCGGGCCTGTCGTCGCTTGGTTCCGCATGCTGCTGCGCGCGAAGGAGAAGCAAGGATGATCACCCCGTCCGTCGACACAGCAGCCCCAAGCGATCAACTTCATAAACAGCGGTAGCGGCTACGTACAGTTCAAGAGAGACTAAACTATGTGAGAAAAAAAAGGATCTACGAGAGCAATGCGGGTGGTCCCGGCTATGAGAAACACAGATCACATATATTTCATAGCTCGGCGTAAGAGACAAACAAGACGTGTTTATGCCTTGTCCCGACCCCTCTCTCTTTAGCCGCAGCCGCTACTACGCAGCGTCTCATCAACGCGCGGTACCGGCGCGGCCTAGTGACTACGGCATGCGTTTACGTGAGTACACTCCCCGCCCCGTCATCCCCGCCTTGGTGAGGATTTACTGCCTGTTCAACCGATGAAATAGAGAGAAGAAGGGGGTTTCGTATCTCTATTCCTAACCCCAACTAAAACCAAGCTTAGTATCCTCGCCAAGGCTACTACTGCCTCTCTATCAACTCTTCTCACCCTGTCGCCCCTCTGCGAAGCCGAAACGAAATTGACCACCTCCGAAGGGTCGCCAGTGCCGGTCCCTTCCGCGCTAACTCCGAACAGGGTCTTGAGCTCCCCGGCGATGAGCCCGCCCCCTCCTGCTGCGCCTCCGACCTTATCTCCAGAGATGGCGGTGACCGCGGTGACTATGGAGGCGTTATCGTCGAAGTCTTCCTCGTCTCCCTCCGCCTCCTGCTCCTCCTTGCTGACTTGCAGATACCGCCCCTGGCGAAGTTGAAAAAGGGTGCGTATTGGAAAAACAGTAACCTTTTCACCATCTGCTACATCCACTGCCTCTATTCTTCCCCCAATAAATATATAAATAGCTAAAAGATTTACCTTTTTAGCATCTGCTACATCTACTGGCTCTATTCTTCCCCTAACAAATACATAAATAAATACCTAAAAGATTTACTTTTTCAGTATCTGCCACATCTACTGGCTCTATTTCGTTCAATAGATGCCTTTAACTTTCCCTCCCGCCTACCCATATCTCATCGTCCCGGCATGGTAGGGATGCGAGGTCAATGGTCTAACGACTACGGCAGGCGTTTCCATGAGCACAGCCCCCCTAATCCCCTCTCCCGATACTGTGCATACGGCGTTTCCCTTTGATTAGTGCTTGTACGTTTCGAGTCGAATTTGTGGGTTTCGGTCTTGCTTTGTGTTTTGTCTTCATGCCTCCCTCCCCCCGATTTTCCACAAATGAGAAGCTAACTTGACGTCCTATCAAGGCGAGGCGTTCGACGTCGCACCTGGCTGCCGCGCAGAAGGACCGGTTGGTGCAGGCACACGCAACGCACGTCTTGCACGTCCGGCGTCTGGTCGGCGACGGCCTCCGCAGACAGGGGCTGGGCCTCCGCGATGAGCTGGTGGATCTCATCATCTGTGTCACACACAAAACGCACATTACTCGCAACACTTACTACTTTGTCACATACACGCTCACGCACACATTGCTCTCGATACATGTGTAGTAGGGAGGCTCGACCCCTTCCGTCCGGTCCTTCCCCGTGTGCCAACCCCTCCTCGCCGTCGGTCCCCGCGGATAAGCAAAGGCTAGGTTTTGACAAATTTTGATCCGTGAAAGACTCTGGCAAGCCGATTGGCGCAACTTATGCTACAACACTGAGGACACACCACACGCTTTCACGCAAAGTAAATTCCAACAACACTAGGAGAGCTCATGGCCCAGCTCATGGGGTTAGTATCCGGTGAACATGAGCATATTCGCCCCTCCCTTAGCAGTCACGTAAGTGATGAAAACACTGAGCTATTCACAAAGTCGCCTGGTTCGCAGGCATACACCTGAGACCTCCCACCCCGCCTCTCCGGTACGAAAGGGGCAATGCCCAACCCACCAATCCAAACGACAGGCGGGAATAAGCGCTGAACAAGCCTCATATCTTGCAAGAAACCTCACGGCAGAGGCCTCGGCAAACCGCACTTCAAACGGGACCCTTACTCCTCTCCTTGGTGTTTTAGCACGGCAGCCTACCTATGGGCAAGCCACCTGTTGCTCAGCGTTATGTAGATGATGATAACTTGCTTGGGGTTAGATCGAATCCATTGACGGCGCCCTTTTACCACACACACCACGTGATCACGATCACACAAAATCAGCCCGCGTTCTCAACTCACCGTCAGACTCGCCCGCTTTCGCGTCCCACTCGCCCGACGCGCCCACTCCCCCCCCCCTCCTCGCCGAGGCCCCGTTTCTACCGACACCCAGGCCGTCAGAACCATCACCGCTACTGCCACCACCGTTTCGCAGCAAGAACGAGTCGGTCATCGGCGAGCGCGACCGCCCCGGTGTCTCGCCCTCTCCCCCCCCGCCGCCCAGGCGGAGAGTCGCCGCTCGGGATACCAGCGCTGCGTCCACCGCCGCTGTCCGGCCAGGACCGGGCTGCTGCCACCTTGGCGATGTTGCTCCTCCCAGGACGCTGCCGTTATTGCCACCGCCGGTAGTGTCTAGGTCGAGGCGATGGTGGCGGCCGCGAGTGCTAGCACCGTTGGCGGCAACGCCTCCTCCGTAGCCGCCGCCGCCGCCGCCGCCGCCGCCGCCGCCGCTGTCGCCGCTGTCGCCGCCCCCGCCGAGGAACAAATCGGAGTCGTTGTAGTTGAAGTCGTTGTTGTCGCCGGCGATGCCCGAGATCCCGGAGACATCCAGGAGAGACTCGCCTAGGCCCGCAGCGTTCATGTTTCCTGCAAGAGGAGAGCCGAAGGACGGGACTGCGGTGGGCGAGCGGCGGGAGGAGGCGGCGCCGCTGCGGAGCTGAGAGTAGGAGGAGGAGCCGCTGCCGGGCCGGGGGGAAGCGGAGCTGGGGGTGCGGGCAGGCGGCGCGAAGACCTTGAGGAGGTGGTCGAGGTCCGGTACCGTTTCCTGTGTACACGCGGAGGTGTAGCGGGGGAAGCGAAGCGGTAGGGAGTATCACGGAGAGGTGCAAAAGGGCATGACCACATACATGTGGGGGATTCTCGTAATCGCGGACGGAGTCAGACCATGCAGCTCCTTGATTATTTATGAAGTCGGCCCAAGCACGACGGCGTGTTGCTGTCTGCAAGTGAAACAAGAGCGAAATGCCGTGAGGTGGCAAGAGTCGCATGACACGATGGCGAAATGTCCGGGTTGTACAGGAGCAGAAGACTGTTCAATAAACACCAAACGAAAGAGCACTATAAGACCTTTCGAGTCCCTAGTTATGACATAGCGCAGCAACATGCGCGGAGGAAACGTTAATAGTTCCTATTATAGCTTGCGGCGGAAAGCGGAAACTTTAGTGCGCAACTGACCCACGGCCGTGGCACGTACCCCCACCTCCTGGCTGCAGTCAAACAGCGAACGGATTGATCCTTGGACAAGTGCACACAGGAAGCTGAGTATCGATCAGAAAGCAAGCCTTACAAAACTCTCCACGGCGTATTTCTTACTACCTCTGAGGCTTCTTCGCTTGCTTTCATCGATTCGTTGGCGTTGGCCGGAGTGGAGAGCGTTCCACATGTGTGGTGGCCTTGCCCCAACTGGGTCGCCGCCATCGTCGGAACAGGATGGCAATATGTGTAGATACATCATACCAGATGTTTTGCAGATTTTCAAAAATCAGATCTCCGCATCACCTGGTCACACACACCAGCAGTGTATTAGACGTATGATCACGAGGCGCACTCTTCACAACCACTCTTTGCAGCAGCACACATCCGGGGGCGCACCTTGAGGTCGAGGTAAGCTGCCGGGAACCTCGTCGGCTCCTGGTCCCGAAGCCGCGCCAGCTCTCTCACCAGGTCAAGGGTGCCTCGCCGGGGGGGCGAGGTATCTCGCTTCCCTCTGCTGCGCGAGGCACTCATTGTTCTTGCGGATTACTGAAAGTAGTTCAGGGGATGAGATTAGGATGTAGCAGTGCCCGTGTGGTGGGACACACGGCCTGAGCAGGACCGCGTGGGACACAGCACTGAGCAGCACTGAGCAGCACTGAGTTGCCGAGCATCAACGGGGATTGCTGCCGACATGGAGTGGGGGAGACGCGAAGATGAACATTTGAATAATCTTGTCTGGGTGCCCCCCTTCTGAATTCTCAACGGCACGGCCGCGGCCAGCGGCAGCACAGCAGTGCAGTGCGTGGGATCACTTATGTGTTGGTGCAAACGTGGACTGCCAGCCAAGATGGCGCGAGGCCTTTCCCCGGCCCTGTTTCTCTCGATCCTCTCAGCTACGGGCTCCTATGCCTTCAATTTCAGGCAAGTTTCCCTTTCGAACAGGAGTCATGGAAGAACACAGCAGTATGGGCGCTGCCGCCACCAGCTTGACATGATGTCATCGTCGTTGAACCGCGCCGCCATTTTCGTTCACGAGGATCGCTTGCGCGACGACGGCGTGGGCGGGGCCGAGCGGGCACGTTTGGCCGAAAGCCTCGCATTGGAGTTCAGAGTCCGCACGGCGGCGGTGGAAGCTGCGTGCGAAACGCAGCTGGCCAAGCAGCGGGCTGCGCACAAGCTGGAGATGGCCCAACAGCGTGTGCTGTTGCTCGAGGTGTGTACTGGGGGAACTAGAGACAAGTTGGATGGGCTATGGGGAGAATGGTCGCGTGCTACTCTCGTTCGGGGTGTATTCGTTGTTGTTCTGTCGACGTAACGTGACTGACTGGTGTGGCGGGTGCTGCGGTTGTGCACCAAGATGCAAAGATCGACGTGCCACACGGTCTACAGCGGCGGTACAGTAGACTTGTTGCTCAGGTTGTCGCTCGAACGTGCAGGCAGTACCGACATCATTCGTGTCGTGACCATGGAGCTGCTGTGCTGCTGTGCACACGCGAGCATGTTTGCGAGATGGGGATAGTCACTAACAGATCGTAAAAACTACTCATGTTTTGCAGACAATACACATATGCACATGCATATGTAGCATCAAAGAACTTGTTGGAAGAGTTGTGATGTTGGAAGCATGTATATAATAGCATTCCAACAAGCCGTGACGGTTGCGACGAAGGAAGTGCAGTGCAAGCTGCTGCTGCTTTACGTTCACGTGTACACATACACCTTGCGTCTGGCAGCTGAGACACGTCGCTTTGTGGTTTCGAGGCGGTTTCTTGTTTCATCGTCACGGCCGTTGAGCATACATGTAGGCTACTTTACAGGATGTCAGTGATCTACCATATACAGCCGCTTGCAAAGTGTCCTTGTTGTTGCCTTCACTTAATAACCGTTCCGATCTCTCTATCCAGTGCATTCATCTGTCCACTCTAGTCTAACAGTTGACGCGGTCGAATCCCGTGGTCACAGGCTAAGAAATACACTGGACTCGAAGGGGCAGCCAGCCAATAGAAATCAACGACAGATAGTCTAGAACCCTCGCTCCCTCTACACGCTTTGCGAGGTAAACGTAGACTGGAAGTCAACATCACGGGCCAGAAGTTGCTAACCATATTTCTCACCGGAAATATACTTCTGAACGGTGGCGTAACGGTCCGGCCCTACAGAAAGATCGGGTAGGCTTGTTTCGGCGTCGTCGGTTCCCTCCCTGTACTACTATGCATATTTTCTTGCAGCAAACCGCTTTCAATGCATCGCGAAGTTCACTTCTGTTCGAGAGCGCTTGTTCTCTCCCGCACCGGAAGAGAACAAAACAAGCCGCCTCCTTGTTACGCCACCGTCCCACGTGTAGGGCATGGTCCCGCTGGCCGCGCACGACGAAGTGGTGTCGACGATCGCGGGCGACTTCTCCCGCCGGCAGGAGGAGCTGCGTGCCGAGGTGGAGCAGCGGGACAAGGCTCTGAATGGAGCCTCCAGGAATGTCCGAGCCATGTCAGACAGCCTTGCGGTGCTCAAGCGGGACGTGATATCTCTCCGTACAGCCCTAAACAGGTATTAGCGCTGACACTCATCGTTGGATGTTTGCCATGTTTGCGACACTCGAGCGAACTGCGCCCCCCCCCCCCCCAAA